AGGAAGGGGTGGAGGCAGCACTAGTCGCAGCCAGAGGCCAGTGCTCCCGGTGTCATCCAGCGGTCGTGTCTCCACCGACAACCCTGCCGTCATCGATTGGTTGGCTCGGTCGTCTTCCTCTTCCCAGGTCACCTCTGACACCTACAGCCAACGGTCGGTGGGTACGTCAGACACAACCGTTAGTTGGCATGGCCCGGGAGCAAGCCCACTGAAATCACGTGTCCTCTACCTGCCCCTGTCCTTTGGTGTTCCCTCACCAAGCGAAAGTATCGTATGCTGTGGGCTCAGCCCCACTGTACAGTGAGGAAGAGCTAACAGAGGGCGGTCAGGAACGGGGGGAGACATCCGCCTCTTCAGCAGCCAGGCGAAGAAGTAGTGGCGAGGAGAGTGGCTCGGTAGCCGGTCTAGAGACAGGTCTGTCTCCTGACCCACACGCAGCCGAGGGGGCTAGTAGTGAGGCGGAGACCCTAATTGATGATGATGAGGCTGATCGCACTTGGCAGCCTCGTCGTCATCAGGCTATTGCTTCCGCATCATCAGGAGAAGAGGGTGGCAGCTTGGCAGCGAGCAAAACAGTCGGTGGGTTGCCCAGGAGGCAGCAGGGTCGCAGCAGTGTCAGTGGAGGCAAACGGCCACGGGAGTAGAGCACCAGCTCCACTGCAGCCTACCACCACGGCCAGTAGTGGTGCCGGTGTGCACGGAGGAGGAAGTAGCAGTCAGCCAGTGAGGAGTATCGGGGGCAAAGTTTCCTACTCGGCGGTGTGGCAATTTTTTCGTCAAGCCGCCCGAGGAAGTAAACGTAGCCGTATGTCGACTATGTGGCCAGAAAGTCAAGCGTGGCCAGGGGGCCCATGTTGGGACTACAGCGTTGCGTCAGCATATGCAGCATCGCCATTTGGTGGCCTGGGAAAACCGTGATAAAGATACGGCGGTTTCTGCCTGCCCCAGCCCCCGCTCCATTCACACCCGCTCCGTTACTTGCTCCGTCACCCAGACGTCAATCGACCCTCTATCAGCCAGTCAAGGCTCCAACACCTCTGCTGAGGGGAGTTGTCGCTCGTTGGCATCTTCCGCTCGTTCAGATGCTCCTTCTCCTGCTACTCCTCTTCACGGATTCCGTCAGCAGTCTTTCTTGGAATCCGTTTCCAAGAGACAACAGTTTGCGAGCACGCACCCGACGGTGCAAAAGCTGAACGTCCTCCTGTCCAAGTTGCTGGTGCTGCAGTCCCCTCCCTTTCCAAGTGGTGGACTCAGCACCTTTCCGAGAAATGATGGCTTGTGCCGCGCCGCGGTGGAGAGTGCCAAGCCGTCATTTCTTCGCCAAAAAGACAGTGCCAGCCCTGCATTCACATGTAGTAGAGATGGTGGGCCAGTCTTTGAGCATGTCGGTCTCTGCCAAAGTGCACGGCAGCGCCGACGTGTGGAGCTGTAACTACGGTCAGGGACAGTACATGTCATTTACGGCCCACTGGGTGAACGTGGTGCCGACACAGTCGCACCAGCAACTTGGACAGGTCACGCCGCTTTTGCCTCCACGTTTGCACGTCCTTGGTCCACAAAAGATGTCCGCCTCTACCACTTCTTCCGCCGTGTCCTCAGCCGCCACCCCCGTGCCAAGTCCTATTACCCGACCGGCATATCACATGTGCAGGGCGCAACGGTGTCACGCTGTGCTGCACCTGGTATGCCTTGGCGAACGTAGTCACACAGGGGAGGAACTTCTGAGTGTAATGAACAGAGAAATCGACAGATGGCTGTCTCCGCGCAAACTGAAAATCGGAACCATGTTGACCGACAACGGAAAAGAACATGGTGTCTGCTCTGCGTCAAGGAAGGTTGTGCCATGCGCCATGCATGGCTCACGTGTTCAATCTGGTTGTCAAGCGGTTCCTAAAATCCAGATATAATATAAACTCTAAATATCCCTACGAAAAGTATCACTCTCACCCTTGAAAGTGTAAACAAAATATAAATAATATCTTTTCGATACTCCCTCAACCACCCCCACCAGTGCAAAACATATAGCAGCAAAATGTCCACATATAAGTCCAAAATAAAGTGCTTTTCAATAAATAGTGCTTTTTCAAACGTTGAGGACTACTCCACTTTGCTGAATTTCAATCCAGGAACCTCAAATCAGGATACCTCAAAAAAAATATAAACTCAATATAGTGTGTTATCATTACAACAACAAAACACTCGTGAAAACTAAGAGTGATTCCTCCTGGACTCCCACCCGTGATAAATCAACACTCCAAAATGTGATAAAGTGCAACACTCCACACCAGTGTTACCATCCAAATAAACTAAATACCATTACCCTCTCATAAAAAATCCCATGCATCCAAATGAGATAGTGCCATCTCTCTTGTGATATATATACTATTACCCTCTTCCAATGCAGACCAAGCAAAACTCCTTCAAGGCAGTCCAAGGTTTCCCCCTCTTCGGAAGCTTCTTAATGCTTCCAATCCACCTTCCCCGTTCCTCAAAAGGGGCAGATAATACAAGACTCAATGAAGTATATAAAGGGATTTCACAAATTTATTCATAGCTTACATAGAAAACGCCAACGTCCATCCTCTCCCACAGTCCATATAGCTGAATTCCAGTGTTCAAGATGGCCGTGCCACTCCTTCCGGTTTGAGATTGTATTGTACGTCCTTACGTCCTTGACGCGTTTCGTCACTTCCGACTTGTTCACAAGGGTTCACCCTTGTGAACAAGTCGAAGTGACGAAACGCGTCAAGGACGTAAGGACGTACAATACAATCTCAAACCGGAAGGAGCGGCACGGCATCTTGAACACTGGAATTCAGCTATATGGACTGTGGGAGAGGATGGACGTTGGCGTTTTCTATGTAAGCTATGAATAAATTTGTGAAATCCCTTTATATACTTCATTGAGTCTTGTATTATCTGCCCCTTTTGAGGAACGGGGAAGGTGGATTGGAAGCATTAAGAAGCTTCCGAAGAGGGGAAACCTTGGACTGCCTTGAAGGAGTTTTGCTTGGTCTGCATTGGAAGAGGGTAATAGTATATATATCACAAGAGAGATGGCACTATCTCATTTGGATGCATGGGATTTTTTATGAGAGGGTAATGGTATTTAGTTTATTTGGATGGTAACACTGGTGTGGAGTGTTGCACTTTATCACATTTTAGAGTGTTGATTTATCACGGGTGGGAGTCCAGGAGGAATCACTCTTAGTTTTCACGAGTGTTTTGTTGTTGTAATGATAACACACTATATTGAGTTTATATTTTTTTGAGGTATCCTGATTTGAGGTTCCTGGATTGAAATTCAGCAAAGTGGAGTAGTCCTCAACGTTTGAAAAAGCACTATTTATTGAAAAGCACTTTATTTTGGACTTATATGTGGACATTTGCTGCTATATATGTTTTGCACTGGTGGGGGTGGTTGAGGGAGTATCGAAAAGATATTATTTATATTTGGTTCCTAAAATCCACACATCATCCCACTGCAAGACATCCTTAAAATGTCACGTAAACTTTGCATGCATTTCAGCCATTCCTACACCGCAAAGCACACCCTCCTTGAGCTGCAGCGGCAGAACGGAATTCCACAGCATCGCCTGATCTACGACGTTGCAACAAGGTGGAATTCAACCCTACACATGTTAGACCGCCTTTACGAACAGCGAAAGGCCATCACCGATTTCCTGATGTTACAAGCGGATAAAGGTACTCCCCTGTGTAACTTCGATGTCAGCCATTGGCAGCTCATGCGTGACACCTGCCGCTTGCTGAGGCCCTTTGAGGAGGCCACGCTATTCGTGAGTCGGCAGGACTATGGGATGAACGACGTCATTCCTCTGTTGCACGTCCTGGAACAAATGCTGTTAACAATGGCTGGTCAGGGTGCGGTAGACGTGGCGCACAGATCTCAACGCCACATGACCCCTGTGGGGGCCAGGACAGGAAGAAGAGGAGGAGGTAGAGGAGGACATTTGTGCTCAGGAATTATTGAGTGAAATGGGTGGTTTTTCCACTCAGCGGACAGGAGTGGAGGAGCAGGAGCCTCTGGTAGAGGAGGAGGAGACAGAGGACCCAGATGCACCGTGGCAGTATGCTGTGGAGATGGAGGCAGGGAGTCCCTCGCATTCCTTGGCACAAATGGCCCATAGCATGCTCGGTTGCTTGCGTAGCGACAGCCGAATAATAACCATCAGACAGAGGGATGACTTTTGGCTGTCCACCTTGTTGGACCCTCGCTACCGTTCAAAAATGGTGGCCTTTTTCACACCTGCTGAGAGGGAGGCCCAAAATAACGTACTATAAAAAACCACCTATGTAGTCAGTTGGTCTCTGCCTTTCTGCGCCAACGTCCATCCTCAGACACTGTGGGCCCTGTGCGCTCGCGTTCCGCTGCCATGGCAGCAGGGGAGGGGTGGGGTGGTAGGAGCAGTGGCAGCTCCACCAGCAGCGGCTGCCTCAGTCTGCAGTCGATGATGAGTAGCTTTCTTCACCAGCGCAGTGAGGAAACTACTAACCAGCCGCAGCAGCAGCAGCAGCATCAGGTGGACCTGGAGCAGGACCTCAAACAACAGGCTTGGGCCTACTTGGACAGCACCCTGCCAACCGAGGTAGACAATCCCTTGACTACTGGGCAACGAAACTTGACCTTTGGCCCCAACTAGCTGAATTTGCCCTTGAAAGGCTGTCATGCCCGGCCAGTAGCGTGGCATCGGAGCGCGTGTTTAGTGTGTGCGGCAGGAGGGTATTGTAACTCCGCGGAGGACACGACTGTCCACCCAAAGTGTGGAGAGACTCACGTTTGTGAAAATGAATCAGGCGTGGATTAGTCTGGATTTCAAATCCACCAGTTCCTGACACAACTGACTAAATCCGCCATGAATCATGCCCCAAACATGTGCCACTTTCAGGTCTCCTCACACTGCTGGTGCTGTCCATTTTTTGTCATAGGGTGCTGGCAGATTACGGGCCTCCCATTGCTGCTGCCAGGCCCGTAATCTGCCATGGGCCCCTGTACCGCCTCCTCATGCTGCTGCCAGGTCCAGAGTGTCTCATGGGTCCCTGTACGGCCTCCCATTGCTGCTGTCTCCATCGCCACACTCTGCCATGTGCCACTTTCAGGTCTCCTCACACTGCTGGTGTGTTCCATTTTGTCATAGGGTGCTGGCAGATTACGGGCCTCCCATTGCTGCTGCCAGGCCCGTAATCTGCCATGGGCCCCCGTACCGCCTCCTCATGCTGCTGCCAGGTCCAGAGTGTCTCATGGGTCCCTGTACGGCCTCCCATTGCTGCTGTCTCCATCGCCACACTCTGCCATGTGCCACTTTCAGGTCTCTCTCTCACACTGCTGGTGTGTTCCATTTTGTCATAGGGTGCTGGCAGATTACGGGCCTCCCATTGCTGCTGCCAGGCCCGTAATCTGCCATGGGCCCCCATACCGCCTCCTCATGCTGCTGCCAGGTCCAGAGTCTCTCATGGGTCCCTGTAAGGCCTCCCATTGCTGCTGTCTCCATCGCCACACTCTGCCATGTGCCACTTTCAGGTCTCCTCACACTGCTGGTGTGTTCCATTTTTTGTCATAGGGTGCTGGCAGATTACGGGCCTCCTATTGCTGCTGCCAGGCCGTAATCTGCCATGGGCCCCCGTACCGCCTCCTCATGCTGCTGCCAGGTCCAGAGTCTCTCATGGGTCCCTGTACGGCCTCCCATTGCTGCTGTCTCCATCGCCACACTCTGCCATGTGCCACTTTCAGGTCTCCTCACACTGCTGGTGTGTTCCATTTTGTCATAGGGTGCTGGCAGATTACGGGCCTCCCATTGCTGCTGCCAGGCCCGTAATCTGCCATGGGCCCCGTACCGCCTCCTCATGCTGCTGCCAGGTCCAGAGTCTCTCATGGGTCCCTGTACGGCCTCCCATTGCTGCTGTCTCCATCGCCACACTCTGCCATGTGCCACTTTCAGGTCTCCTCACACTGCTGGTGTGTTCCATTTTTTTTCATAGGGTGCTGGCAGATTACGGGCCTCCCATTGCTGCTGCCAGGCCCGTAATCTGCCATGGGCCCCATACCGCCTCCTCCTCATGCTGCTGCCAGGTCCAGAGTCTCTCATGGGTCCCTGTACGGCCTCCCATTGCTGCTGTCTCCATCGCCACACTCTGCCATGTGCCACTTTCAGGTCTCCTCACACTGCTGGTGTGTTCCATTTTTTGTCATAGGGTGCTGGCAGATTACGGGCCTCCTATTGCTGCTGCCAGGCCCGTAATCTGCCATGGGCCCCCGTACCGCCTCCTCATGCTGCTGCCAGGTCCAGAGTCTCTCATGGGTCCCTGTACGGCCTCCCATTGCTGCTGTCTCCATCGCCACACTCTGCCATGTGCCACTTTCAGGTCTCCTCACACTGCTGGTGTGTTCCATTTTGTCATAGGGTGCTGGCAGATTACGGGCCTCCTATTGCTGCTGCCAGGCCCGTAATCTGCCATGGGCCCCCTGTACCGCCTCCTCATGCTGCTGCTGCCAGGTCCAGAGTCTCTCATGGGTCCCTGTACGGCCTCCCATTGCTGCTGTCTCCATCGCCACACTCTGCCATGTGCCACTTTCAGGTCTCCTCACACTGCTGGTGTGTTCCATTTTGTCATAGGGTGCTGGCAGATTACGGGCCTCCTATTGCTGCTGCCAGGCCCGTAATCTGCCATGGGCCCCCGTACCGCCTCCTCATGCTGCTGCCAGGTCCAGAGTCTCTCATGGGTCCCTGTACGGCCTCCCATTGCTGCTGTCTCCATCGCCACACACTCTGCCATGTGCCACTTTCAGGTCTCCTCACACTGCTGGTGTGTTCCATTTTGTCATAGGGTGCTGGCAGATTACGGGCCTCCCATTGCTGCTGCCAGGCCCGTAATCTGCCATGGGCCCCTGTACCGCCTCCTCATGCTGCTGCCAGGTCCACAGTGTCTCATGGGTCCCTGTACGGCCTCCCATTGCTGCTGTCTCCATCGCCACACTCTGCCATGTGCCACTTTCAGGGTCTCCTCACACTGCTGGTGTGTTCCATTTTTTCATAGGGTGCTGGCAGATTACGGGCCTCCCATTGCTGCTGCCAGGCCCGTAATCTGCCATGGGCCCCCGTACCGACTCCTCATGCTGTGACGTTGCAACAAGGTGGAATTCAACCCTACATATGTTAGACCGCCTTTACGAACAGCGAAAGGCCATCACAGATTTCCTGATGTTACAAGCGGATAAAGGTACTCCCCTGTGTAACTTCGATGTCAGCCATTGGCAGCTCATGCGTGACACCTGCCGCTTGCTCTGAGGCCCTTTGAGGAGGCCACGCTATTCGTGAGTCGGCAGGACTATGGGATGAACGACGTCATTCCTCTGTTGCACGTCCTGGAACAAATGCTGTTAACAATGGCTGGTCAGGGGTGCGGTAGACGTGGCGCACAGATCTCAATGCCACATGACCCCTGTGGGGGCAGGACAGGAAGAAGAGGAGGAGGTAGAGGAGGACATTGGTGCTCAGGAATTATTGAGTGAAATGGGTGGTTTTTCCACTCAGCGGACAGGAGTGGAGGAGCAGGAGCATCTGGTAGAGGAGGAGGAGGAGGAGACAGAGGACCCAGACGCACCGTGGCAGTATGCTGTGGAGATGGAGGCAGGGAGTCCCTCGCATTCCTTGGCACAAATGGCCCATAGCATGCTCGGTTGCTTGCGTAGCGACAGCCGAATAATAACCATCAGACAGAGGGATGACTTTTGGCTGTCCACCTTGTTGGACCCTCGCTACCGTTCAAAATGGTGGCCTTTTTCACACCTGCTGAGAGGGAGGCCAAAATAACGTACTATAAAAACCACTTATGTAGTCAGTTGGTCTCTGCCTTTCTGCGCCAACGTCCATCCTCAGACACTGTGGGCCCTGTGTGCGCTCGCGTTCCGCTGCCATGGCAGCAGGGGAGGGGTGGGGTGGTAGGAGCAGTGGCAGCTCCACCAGCAGCGGCTGCCTCAGTCTGCAGTCGATGATGAGTAGCTTTCTTCACCAGCGCAGTGAGAAAACTACTAACCAGCCGCAGCAGCAGCAGCATCAGGTGGACCTGGAGCAGGACCTCAAACAACAGGCTTGGGCCTACTTGGACAGCACCCTGCCAACCGAGGTAGACAATCCCCTTGACTACTGGGCAACGAAACTTGACCTTTGGCCCCAACTAGCTGAATTTGCCCTTGAAAGGCTGTCATGCCCGGCCAGTAGCGTGGCATCGGAGCGCGTGTTTAGTGCGGCAGGAGGTATTGTAACTCCGCGGAGGACACGACTGTCCACCCAAAGTGTGGAGAGACTCACGTTTGTGAAAATGAATCAGGCATGGATTAGTCTGGATTTCAAACCACCAGTTCCTGACACAACTGACTAAATCCGCCATGAATCATGCCCCAAACATGTGCCACTTTCAGGTCTCCTCACACTGCTGGTGCTGTCCATTTTGTCATAGGGTGCTGGCAGATTACGGGCCTCCCATTGCTGCTGCCAGGCCCGTAATCTGCCATGGGCCCCTGTACCGCCTCCTCATGCTGCTGCCAGGTCCAGAGTCTCTCATGGGTCCCTGTACGGCCTCCCATTGCTGCTGTCTCCATCGCCACACTCTGCCATGTGCCACTTTCAGGTCTCCTCACACTGCTGGTGTGTTCCATTTTGTCATAGGGTGCTGGCAGATTACGGGCCTCCCATTGCTGCTGCCAGGCCCGTAATCTGCCATGGGCCCCCGTACCGCCTCCTCATGCTGCTGCCAGGTCCAGAGTGTGTCATGGGTCCCTGTACGGCCTCCCATTGCTGCTGTCTCCATCGCCACACTCTGCCATGTGCCACTTTCAGGCTCCTCACACTGCTGGTGGGTTCCATTTTTGTCATAGGGTGCTGTATGGCCTCCCATTGCTGCTGCCTCCACCGCCACACTGTGGCTCCACACTCTGGTTTTGGCCCCGTGACTGCCCAAATGAGTGAAGTGTGCGGTGATTCTAAGATCGACGGCACTCATCTGCATGTCATACTGACTGACAGTATTATTTCTCTTCCCCAGCAGACTCCAAGGGCATTTAAATTAAAGGTACAGTGTTCTGCACTAATATAAAGGCTCTCTGAAGCCTAGAAACAGCCTTTTATAAGTTAAATTCGCAGCGAATATATTCGCATCGAATCGAATTTATTCCTCGAATTCGCCGAATCAAATTTTTGAATACTTCGCTCATCTCTAGTGTCAGCGTACCAGCATCCCGGGTGACATCATCATGGCAAGCGAAGGCGTCGGCTTCAGCTGGGAGCGTATGCAGGGTTACCAAGATAACATGTTTCGCGCAGTTGCACTTTGTCAAGTCTGTATGTGTTTTGTTGGTTTCTGTTAACCCCTTCACGCCGGATCTTCCCGGTGTGAAGAGGAGTTCCTGCGCCGGGAGGTGGGCGGGGCTTAGTGTCATGTGGCCGCCGTGATATCACAGCCCGGTCACATGATCGGGAAAGGTCCCGATCGCAAGTGCGAGCCGGGAACTTTCCGTGAGTACCTCACATGTGTGCTGGGAGCGCACAGGGAGCGCGCTCTCAGCAAATATGTTTTTTGTTACATGAACGCAAATGTGCGGCCGCTCGGTGTCTAGGCCCAGAAGCCGGGAGGCCGCAAATTTGCGTGCGGCCGGCGTGAAGGGGTTAATATACACTGCTCAAAAAAATTAAAGGAACTCTTTTTAATCAGAGTATAGCATCAAGTCAATTAAACTCCTGGGATATTGATCTAGTCAGTTATGTAGCAGAAGGGGGGGGTTCAACTGCTTTAGTGTTAATGAAATTAACAACATGTGCACTAGATTGGCAACAATGAGACGACCCCCAAAACAGAAATGGTTTTACAGGTGAAGGCCACTGACATTTTTTTCCCTACTCATCTTTTCTGACTTTTTTTTGTTAGTTTTGCATTTGGTTGGGGTCAGTGTCACTATTGATAGCATGAGGTGATGCCTGGAGCCTACAGAGGTTGCACAGGTAGTCCAACACCTCCAGGATGGCACATTAATACGTGCCATTGCCAGAAGGTTTGCTGTGTCTCCCAGCACAGTCTCAAGAGCATGGAGGAGATTCCAGGAGACAGGCAGTTACTCTAGGAGAGCTGGACAGGGCCGTAGAAGGTCTTTAACCCATCAGCAGGACCAGTATCTGCTCCTATGTGCAAGGAGGAACAGGATGAGCACTGCCAGAGCCCTAAAAAATGACTTCCATCAGGCCACTGGTGTGAATGTCTCTGACCAAACAATCAGAAACAGACTTCATGAGGGTGGCTCGAGGGCCTGAAGTCCTCTAGTGGGCCCTGTGCTCACCATAGAGCTTGATTGGCATTTGCCATTGAATACCAGAGTTGGCAGGTCTGTTACTGGCACCCTGTGCTTTTCACAGAGCAGGTTCACTAGCCTGCTGCATCATTTTTTCACTTTGATTTTCTAGGTGTCTTTGAATTCAGTCCTCTGTAGGTTGATAATTTTCATTTTCATCAAACGATGGGGCATCCTTATGTTCCTAACACATTACCCAGTCCATATCAGTATAGATACCCAGCAGGATATTTTTCCCCATTGAGATATGATACGATTTCAAAGTGTTCCTTTAATTTTTTTGAGCAATGTATTTTATTAGATTAAACTCCAGTGTAAGGGCATTTTTTTTCGTACGAGAACTGTATTATCCCTTAATCATAAATAATTTTTCTTCTGCTGTTTCTTTACATATGTGAAGCATATATTCCCAGTCACATATATAAAGAAACAGCACAAAAAAAATTTGGATTCTATTACACTGGTGTTGGGTGTTTTGCGTGCTGCTGTATTTGTTTATTATTATTTCACACTAGGTGCAGTTGGTTTCTAGTTTTTAGGTATTATTCCTTAGTACCTATAAACAGAGAATGTGACAGTATTGTAGGAGCAGATCAAACAGTACATAAAACTGGGTAGATCCAATGCTTTTGATGACAGTATGTGGGTTGGGCACACACTTTAAAGAAAGCTCCAATCTTGTGCTTCCTAATTCAATTTTTTTTTTCTTTTGAACCTGTACTGACAATTAACTGTGTACCTCTGTTTAGTATACTTGTTATTTCACTTGTCACTTAAGACATTGACGGCCACCATAGTGGGGTAGTCAGTCAGTATGATGTGTGATGGGATGGATGCAGCAGTTCATTTGAAGATAAATTACATCTAATATTTACCTTGCTTGCAAATAATTTACTACTTTTCTGCATTAGAACGCCTGCTTGTGGCCTTTTGGTTTTTTTATTAACATTTTGTTGTCTGAAAAGTTGTGCTGATGGATGCAGAGTATTTTCAACACAAAGGGATTAATTTTGCTTCAGTCATTTACTCAAAAGAAAGACTTGAGTATCTGGAGAATGAGTTTCAAGTTCAGGATGATGATGTCTATATTGTTACCTTTCCCAAATCAGGTAAGGTTTTATCTTATTCTATATTTCCACTGTAGAGGATTTTTGTAAATGATTGTCTCTCTGGGTACTAAAGTTGGGTATACATAAGTAGATTATTTTTATTTAATCTGTGTTTGGAACAAAAAAATAATCTAACAGATCTCCCCATCTATGCTATACAGCGTGGATGGAGGAATCTCTTGCTGTGGCTATTGTATTCTGGCAGCCACCACCTGAACTGCTGTTCAGCTGACAGATTTCTGCCCAGTTCCTTTAATTTTCAAGAATTTTGGGTGGGAAGTGACTGATATGGCAACTCACGAAGGAGATTTTGGTCGGTTCCTCAGGAAGTTTTCATAGTGTGTACCCAGTTTAATTTGAGTATATTTTTTGTACAACACTTTTTTTATAACCCGCTGTGTATTAGAAGAGTATTAATCTGTCAAAACAAACACCACAAGGATAAGGCTACAAAATGCAGTTTTATTTAATTGGACGAAAAAATTATAATATGTCAAACAATTTGGGGGGATTGGGGTGGCCCGTGGGGGGGGGGGGGGTGTTGGGAGGGAACTTCCCAGGGTGGGTTGTGGGCATATACTGATATGTTTGGCATATTATATTTTTTTTATGGCCATTTAAATAAAATTGCTTTTTGTAGCCTTAGAGGTGTTTTATCCGTGTGGTGTTTGTTTTTACATTGTATTTTTTTGGATGCACCTCCCCGAAGTAGGGGTCTAGCAGGATTACCACTCCCAGGATTCGGTTTTTGTGTGTTTTAAATAAAGAGTATTAATCACTATAGCCATCACTGAGTCAATGAATTTAATTTGAAATCCCTTTCCTCCAGACCTGCTATTGGAATGTGATCCCAGATGTAATAAGGCTTCTTTACAATATATACAGTTTTTCGTACAATTTTTCCCAAACAAAAACCACATTCACAGTTAGAATTTTGTTAGTTTGTGAAAAATTTACATCCTGCCCCTTTGAATTTTTTGGCACTACAGTGGAAAAAGAACATTGCTTTGACCCCCACCAACCATTAGAAAATTGAGCAAATGTTCAGAAAATGCAAATTATCAACAACAGGATCAATAGAAAATGCAGTAAGCACTCAAATATTATAGATTTTTTTATATTCTTAACTTGCAGTGTGAAGTAGGGGATGATTTGTTTTTTTATGAAGCACTCAAATCTACTTTGTATGTGACGTTCCGTCACCAGCTTCAGCAGCAAGCTGTCATTCCATTGCTGTTGGAAACACTGCAAAACCTATGTGGATGGCAAGAAAGTGTCACCTTGCTCCTCCAGCCAAGGGAGCAGCACATGTGAGCAGGAAAGTGTTATACTGCTAGCATGTATCCTCCAGAGTGATCCTACTTCTGGTAAGCTCTTGCCAGTGACAGTATGGTGTGACATTGCCCCTATAGCTTTTACAGATGATCCAGATTGCAAGTCTTCTTCTGAAAATGCTAGCTGCCTGGCTGTTATGCTGACTCACTAACTTTAGTCATTTCTAAGTTACTAAGTTGAAACATGCATTAATAGGAAACTCAAAGAAAAGTCAAAATATCTTATCTCCACTTGTTAGTTACTCAAAGTAGTGATGCCAGACGGTCAGATTACAGCCAGGCAGCTAGCATTTCCAGAATGAGAAATGGGCAAGAGCAGCTTCCATATTTCTCTCAGGAAATGCCTCCTTTAAGCCCCCCTTTTCCCCCTCAGGAGGGAATGAAGAACTTGATGTCATCAATTATCTGCGAAAGAATCAGGAGCAATCTGAACGATTGCCCTTTTGACAAAGACTTAGGGCAATAAGGTGAGGCGATAGGTCACCTCCTTGTCTCCTGTTTTAACCTTGTAAATTCCAAACTGCCACATTGCAACCACGTGTATTACGTGAAATTGCAGGACGGTTGCGGTGTGGCCCTTTCACTTGAATGGGTTGTGTTCAGTGGTGGTACTTCCAACTGAATGCAACAGGGGTATCATTTTACCATGGCTGCAAAGCAAAGCATGGCTGAAAAGCACCCCCTTCTGGCTGCCTTTGCAGCTTAAGTGGAATAGTTGGGGATGGTAAAAATGTGTCTCACTCACCTGTTTTAACTGCTACCCAACTGCAAGTAAATGAGCCTTAAGGTACTCACCTATTTGATTGTAATGTTCAAATGTCATTGAACTCAAATTCAAATGGTCACTTTTCTAAAATAAACCTACTTATCCTGGTGTGTGAACTTTGTGATTTGAGTGATTTATAGCGAGTAAATATAGATAGTAAAAACAATATTTAGAGACCTCCAGCTCTCTATGGGGTCTTACACTCTGACCATGATTTGGCATTGCTGGAAGATTGGTCAAAAAGTGGAAATTGCAGTTCGATGTTTCTAAATGTAAAATAATGCACCTAGGAAAAAGAATCGCTTGAGAGAGTACAACATTGGGGGTACAGTGTTGGCCAGCACTACAGAGGAAAAGGATTTGGGTTTTTTTTATTTCAAATGATTGCAAAATGAGCAAACAGCGTGGCCAGGCAGTGGGCAAAACAAATAGAATTCTAGGATGCATCACTAGAGGGATCACCAGCAGGAGGAAGGAGGTCCTGATTCCCCAATATAGATCTTTAGTTAGACCTCATTTAGAATACTGCATCCAGTTCTGGAGACATCCCTTACAAAAAGATATTGATAAGATAGAACTATCCCAGAGATGGGGAACAAAAATGGTGAAAGGTCTAGGGGATAAAACCTATCAAGAGCGACTTCAGGAACTTAATATGTACAGTCTGGAAGAAAGAAGGGAAAGGGGAGACATGATTGAAACCTCTAAACACATCAAGGGGGTGAATAAGATTCAGGAGGGCAGTATTTTCAATAGTAAACCAAAATCAGGAACATGGGGACATGACCTTAAACTAACTGGAGGAAGGGGGCGTGTCCAAGATGGGAGCCGGAGCAGACGCTTGAGCAGGGAACTCCACAGCATGTGCCTTACTATCCGTATTTGCACAGGGATTACCAACCTCTTTTACTTGTGGACCTGCACCCCCACTCGTGGACACTGGCTAAAGGCAAGTTATCTGCCGGGCCAAGCGTTCTTCACTCTCAGCTGTGAAGAAACTTACGTCCGGCCCGATGACACGTGGGAGATCCAACATGGCGACCGACGATCCAGCTGCTCTGGACCAAAACAACTTTATAGCCCTCATGCAAACCATTAATACATGTCAGACCACTCACACGGCCAAAATGGACCACCTGCAATTGGATATTGGTCTGATTCGCCGTGACATGGATATATTCCATGACTGGCTTGTTGGTGATAAGTTTCCTTTCTTTGTTCATGTTTGTTTTGATGGCATTATATGGCATAATTATTTGACTGTTACAGCTATGAGTAGGTGAGGAGTGGATGCTTGCCTTTCTGGGTCTAATAGCCTCTTTGGCAGATCAGCTATGGTAATATTTCCTCCTTAGGTTACTATTGCTCCACTTACTATAGTCTCCTGAAATGTCCGAGGACTTAATGCCAAACTTAAATGCTCCCTGGTTTTTAATTATCTTAAGAAGTACAAACTTCATATCTGTATCCTACAGAAAACCCATTTGATGGGTAGTAAGGTCCTTTGTTTAAAAAAAACCATGGGTACGTCACTATTACCATGCCACATATTTCTCCTTTGCTAGATGGGTCAGTATATTGGTCCTCAAGTCCCTGTGGTTTTTCTTACTCGATCCTAAAAGGGGAAGTTCTGCTTTAAAGATTGGTCCTCCGCTCCCCATTAAGGATTGGGGGGGACGGGTACCCGAATTTGACAGGTACCCGCTCCCACTTCTGCTGCGATCACCTAGGCGATCGGAAATGGAAGTTGTCCTCCTACCCTCCCTCCCCGAAGTCTTGTGGGACACGTGACAGGTCCCAGAAGATGACAGGGCCATTCAGGAAGCGCAGCGCTACTCACCGCAAGCTGTCACAGGCGAGTGCCCACACTATCTCCAACTTAGACATGCTGTGACAGTTTACCTTTCTGTTGGTTTTGGCATCCCATGCAGTTGAAAATTTATTGATCACAGATCAATTGGACAAGCCACTCTCCTCTATATATCTCTGCTTGGCTCAAGCGGATACTTCCAAAGTCACTCGTCTTTACGACACTTGGCACCGCGATTTGCCCAACCTGATGGATGGGGACTGGGAAGAGGGTATTCAGCAATACTTCCAATCTCAGCTAGGGATAGATGGATTCAACTCAAATACCTACATACAGTTTATTATTCTCCCCAACATCTCTCTTCGATATATATCCTACATTAGACCCCATGGGGTTTATTTACTAAAGCTGGAGAGTCCAAAATCAGACTCCCTTCTGCATAGAAACCAATCAGCTTCCAGGTTTCATTGCCAAAGCTTCATTGAACAAGCTGAGGTTAGAAGCTGATTGGTTTCTATGCAGAAGGGAGTCTGATTTTGGACTCTCCAGCTTTAGTAAATAAACCCCCATGTGTCCTATGTAGGAGGCAGGGGCGGACTGACCATTTGGAAACTCGGGCACTGCCTGAGGGCCCAGGGTCAGTAGGGGGCCCCATGAGATGCCCCTGGTACCTTTTTCATTGGCTTTTTTGAGCTTGGGCAAGGACACAGGGGCCCCATGATCCCCTATTGCCCAGGGTCCCCATGAGTTGTCAGTCTGCCCCTGGTAGGAGGGATGTTGGTACTTTTCTACTCATGGTCTGTTCTTGCCCTACCGTACAAGCATTCTGGAATGAGGTGGTGTCTGACCTGAGTGCTCTGAGTGAATTAGTGGTACCTTTGGACCCGTTAATTCTCCTCCTAGGCATCTGTGATTCATTTATGACCCGTTATAAACAATGGTTTTTGTTTTATGCACTGTTCTATGCTAGGAAATATATTCTTTTTAAATGGAAATTGGACACTCCCCCTTACGCTGCAACAGTGGGTACTTTGGTTAACCAAGTGTTGCCCCTATATAAGCTCACATACTTGGGAGCGTTACTGCCCCATGAAATTCCCAAAAATATGGGGAGCCTGGATCAAGGCCAGGGACCTAACGCTAGGATCCACTGTTATCATTTTGTGAATCGCTCTATTCTGCCACTACGAGGTTGCCTCTCCTGTCCCCTCCTACCCCCACCCTTTCCCTGTCTTTATCCCCCCCCCTTTCCCTTTCTACTTCACCTCCTTCTCTCCCCTCTCCTTTTTATTTTTTACTTCGGCACCTAGAGATGACCTGAATTTTTACATGTCTAAAGCCAGCCATACATCGGTCGAATTCCGAAAGAATTTTCTTTTGAAAATCTTTTCTAAGAATTTTTGTTTGAATTTTGCATCATTAGTGGGCCACAGCAATGGCCAAGTTTTGTGTGACCATTGAATTTGAGTGATCGGACATATTGGAAATTTTTTGAAAAATGAATGAATTTCTAATCAATGATGGGAGAATCGTGCAAGAAATGTAATCGAAAAAAAAATGAGCATGAACTGTGGCCTGGACAGAAAAGAAAATTCTTGGCCACGAAAATTGTTTTCTGTAGCAACATGAGGTGAAATTAAAGGCTTGGTTGGTTGAATTTCAAAATCAATTGCGGCACCATCGGATTACAAAATGCACGAAAAATTCAGATTTTCTAAAGAAAATTAATTCGGAATTCGACCCAGGTATGGCCTGCATTACTATGCTACTCTGAGTTTACTTGCTTGTATATTGATCTGTTCGCAGATTTTTTGTACTGATCTGTGCATTTACCATCCGTACCTGTTCTATTTTGGTACTGTAAACCTTTATGCCATTACTTTTTGTTGCCATTCATTAAACTTTATGATACAAAATAACTAACTGGAGGAAAGTTCAAAACTAATCTCATAACGTAATTTTTTACTGAAAGAGTAGTTGATGCTTGGAATAAACTTCCAGCAGAGGTAGTGAGCCAGTCAACAGTAAATAGCTTCAAACATGCTTGCGACAAGCATAGATCTATACTCAGACAAAAAAGCTAACGAAAAAACAAAAAACAGACAAAAAATGGGCAGACTCGATGGACCACTCAGCCTTTTTCTGCCGTCACTTTTCTATGTTTCATTATGACATTTTGTTTTCTTTAGAAGTCAAGCGCAATATTTCTCACTAATCTTCTTTCCCTCCTTTCTTTCCTTCGCATTTTTTGGTTTGTAATCTTTTTTGTTTTTGTGCATTTTGTTTGGTTGAAATAAATATACGCATTAAAAAACAAACTTTATTTAATTTGTAAATAACCTCACCGTGCTGTAAATCAGAAGCAGTAATGTTTTACCTATATAAAAGAACAAATTGAAGAATAAAATGTATACTTATAAGCAACTTTATATCTCAGACCAAAGTAAAAAGAATGATGTTATAATGTTAATAAAAACTTGACTCTGTTTGGTTTAGCTAGGTATATGTCACCAAATAGTACAAAAAAAAAAACCACATGCAGTACAGTTTCTGCACAATCCTGCAAGTTCAGAAATATACCCTGGATCTGCCAGAAATGCACTCAGCTTGTAAGTTCTGTTGTGGGCTGGCAACACACACTTTGTGGATGGTCTCCAGTTAGCTTTTGCTAAACTACTCCAACCCTTCCCCTATCTTATTCTCCACAACATGTAGACTAACTGTTCTGTGGTTCACGACAAGAAATGGGAAGGCTCCTTGAGAAGCATGTGCAAGACACAGGGCACTTCTGAATTTCTCACGTGGCTAACAGGTATTTTTTGCACTTCTAGAACAGATATAACAGCATGCTTCCAATTTGTATAGTTATCAGACCAAAAGGGAGCAAATAAGAGAAGTTCATTGTTAGGGTTTACATACACTTTAAGCCATGCCAACCCTATGTACAGTATGCCATACCTGCTTTTTATCACAATGCGCACATGTTCTGCAACACCAATCTTTTTAGACTCACAGACAGAAACCTGCCACCTATAGTCATTTTTACTGTGTTGAGTTTTCCATAAACCAAATGTTTGTCTCAAGCAAATAGGTAAATGTTTGTACCTCCCTCATGTTTAAGGTGTACCTCAATTTAAAAAGTGAAGATGCGCTCATCTCATAGGTGTAGCACTTACCCAGATTGAGCAGCTAATGTTTGGGTCCCCAGACTCCAGATGACATTGACACTTCTGGCAACGCCACACCCTCTGTGTGCAATGTACATGGCAAAACAATAATGGAAAGTCAACAAGTTACCAATAACAGATACCATTAGATATATATCATTATATAAGACTCTAAACAACTAGAGGACCTAATGTCTCTGCCGCAAACTATAAAACCAGGGAGATCCTAACTAAGGGGTGGTAGTGGGAATTAAAGGTCTGTTGGTCTCTCCAAACCCCTTCCACTGGCCAATGTGTTAGTAATCGTTGGGGTCCAGAGTTCTGGTGTTTGAGTGCTCAGGCTTGAGCAGGTAATCTATATTGGTTTAAGTGCCCAAACTGTATCCTAAAAACAAGTGTCTCTGTCCCCTTAAAGCAGTGGTCAGTAACTTGTGACCAACGGCCCTCTCACCACCAAATGACCTTGGATTTCGTCTCCTCCCACTCTCTGGACCTGGTGATGTGGTGATGTCAGCTGCGACTCAGGACTGCGCCATGACTATCTCACACTGACCTGGTGATGTTGGCTGTGACACAGCACCCAGCAATGATGGCTCCCACCAACCCGATGATGTCTGCAGGCACATAGCACTCAGCGTTGATCTCTCACTCCCCTGGTGGTGTCAGCAGCAGAATCTCTCTGTATTCTCAACACTGTGGTGACCCCTCCAGCTCTCTGACACAGCAGTCTGCTTTTATGTTCACCTCTCACTGTCCTTCTAACGACTCCCCCGAGCCCAGGAACCTTTTCTATTTTTCCTACTCCCAGCTCCCTGTCTTGCTGGGGCTTATGGTCCTTCCAGTCTTTGGTTCAGTAGAAAAAAACTGTTTCTGGGTACTACATTTTCCGTAGTCCCAGGCAGTTCCTAGCAGTCCTGTCTTACCAGTACCTTCTACAACATGGGCAGTGGGGAGGCTCTTCTCTGACTCTATGTGACTGTAAACAGCCCTAACAGAGTCCTGTGTCATGTCCTTTCTCTCCTTTCCTAGTCTGGCAGCCACAGAAAGGGAGAAATGCTTGCGCTGGCAGTGGTAGAGGCAATGACAGCCTCTCTCACAGCCTGGTCTATGCAGTGAGAGGCAGAAGCACTGCACTTTGGGGCTACATAGACAACATCTGGAAATGTATATTGTGCCTACACAGTACCCTGAAAAAAATCTACCTTATGCTGGCAATTCCTCCTGAAAATGATAGTCCACTTCCTGTGCCTAGGCACTCCAGTGTCCACAGCTTCTATGCTGTATATCTGCATTTTTACTCAAGGGCAGCATGTCTATGACTACAGATCTGTAGTCAGATGTGTCACTACTGTGCTGCTTGCTATTTTCCTTGCTGGAGAGGAAACTGTACCAGAGGAAAATAGTGCAAACTTCTCCCTGCTTCTGCTTTATTTATTCTGTGGATCAATGCTTAGTTCACATCTGTTGCTGCTTTTTTAATATTTACCCAGTACTCAGTCATCAGGGTGGCTGCTTAGACATGAGGAAGCAAATACCTCAACCAAAAGGGCCAACTCTACATATAGACTCATCGCAGAACAAGTATAGTAGAGGAAGGGAAGACTCAGAATATTTGGTGCCTTGTGGTTGGTGACTAGAGAATGTGTAGAAGTTTGTAGGCAGCGCTTAAGTCCAAGGGACCAATTTTGGGGCAGTCTCTGTGGAATCATGGAAAGAAATTGGAAGACAAAGGCACAGTTGTTGCTACCCTGTACCAGCTTAGTAGCCCAGTACACTTGCAAATTATTCTAAACTGATGACAGTTATTTTCTTCCCTTGTATTTATTTGTTTCTAGGTACCAATTGGATGATGGAAATCCTGAGTCTTATCCACAGTAATGGTGACATTTCCTGGTGTCGTAAAGTCCCTAACTACATAAGAATTCCCTGGCTTGATGTCTGCGGCCCTGGAGTAAAGTTAGTGGATGAATACCAATCTCCTCGATTATTCTCCTCCCATTTGCCCATACAATTTTTTCCAAAGTCTTTCTTTTCTTCAAAAGCTAAGGTAAGCATAATAATACAAAATATTATCTATGATAGTCAGTATAATTGGTGTGATGAATTAAAGTGTAAGAACTTGTATGTGGTGTTTATGGCAACCAACTAGATATTTTTTTTTCGTTTGCTATGGAAAAATGGAAAAGCAATTGTGTAAATTGTATTGGTTAACATGGACAATGCAAGCACTTTTAGGCCTCACTTACACTTCCAGCTGGGGTAAAATCATGGGGTTGACCTGCATTTTTATCCCACAAACTGATCACCCTTAAAAGACAAGTATGGGCTTTTTTTCCCCCAAATATACTTACCTAGGTAGATGCTGCATCGGTCTCCTGCCGGCCCTAAGTGTGAGAACTCAGTGATCACATGACCGCTGATTGCTGAATTCTCACAGCCGCTCAGTCACCACTCAGTGACTGTCAGTCACCGCTGTCTGTTCTGCCTCCCCTGTGCTCACTGGAGTGCTAGGCTGTGGAGGGCGAGGGAGTGACTTTAACGTCAGGATCTTTCCCCAGCCTGGACTGGCTGAGTGATGTCAGTCAACAGCGGGTTTCATCCCACTGTCAGCTGAAAATGGGTCACAGGAGTACAGAACGAACTGCACTCCTGTGGTCCACTGGAGAAGTACAGCAAAAAGAGCTTTGGCTGTACTTCTCCTGTAATCTGAAAAGGCAGTAGATGGAGGTGTACACATACCAGAAATTATAAAACCCGTTGCATTCATTGTGCAGTACTGCCTGAAGTATGCAATTTATTCAACAGAATGACGTGTGAATGATGATGACCTCCATCAGTGTGTTTTAAAATTATTACCTTAAAGTTTAAACCAGAATTTCCTAATGGAAAGAGTGTAAGAGAACAGTGAAAAGATTAATATCTAAAAGATTGCAAATAGTGATGGCTAGTTACTTATATATGATTATATGCACATACAGTAGGTGAAGCCATATTTGTCCTTTACAAATTCAGAAACTGCTTCCTGCTAATAGTGCTACACATTGATTGGGCTTTACTGCTTTGTCCTCATGACGCAAGACTTTGAATTGTCTGACTCAAAACAATACAGGATTTACACTGCCATCCTACCTCAGATAGTCAGGGGGCGCATCATATTTATTGATAAAAATACAAGGTTTCCTGTGAATGGCTGAGTAGCTGACAATGGATGCATCTACTAGTAAATTAAATTTGTTTGGACAATTTGAACTATTTAAAGTGAAGGTAAACCTGGTATTAGTCTTTAAATTAAAAGTAGTTTGACATTTTTATATCTTTCTACAGCTCAGTTTATATTTTAAAGATGTTAATATTGCATGCCTTCTAGATGCGTAAGGTGTGGATCATCTAAATAATCATGATCCATGGTTCATTGTTCATGATAGATAACTTTTAATGACTGCTTTTCCATCATTTCAGTTTTTTTTTTTTGTGTTTTAGGTTATATACACAGCGAGGAATCCAAAAGATGTGCTGGTATCTTTGTATCATTATGCCCACATGTCTTTTGTCATTAAGAAACCTAATAGCTTTGATGAATTCATGGAGGACTTCTTGCAAGGCAGAGGTACATTCAAATGTTATTCAGAAAAAAAAAAAAGATTACTAAGCTATTGCATGTTAACAGGCTTGGAAGAATCTGTATGTAAATGGATAGAAAACTGGCTAAAAGATTGTATTTAGAGAGTAGTGGTTAATAATTCATACTCTGAATGGTCTAGGGTTATCAGTGGTGTACCCCAAGGTTCAGTGATGGGACCCTTACCTTTTAATATATTTATAAACAATATAGGGTCTGGGATTAAAAATACCATTTCAGTCTTTGCAGATGACACCAAGCTGTGCAGTGGATGTCTTCAACTTACAAACTGACCTCAATGCACTGTTTAATTGGGCAACTATGTGGCAAATGAGGGTTAATGTTGATAAATGTAAGGTTATGCACTTGGGGGCTAAGAATATACATGCATCATACATACTAGGGGGAGTACAACTGGGGGAATCAATGGTGGAGAAGGATCTGGGAGTTCTGGTAGATCACAAGCTTAATAACGGCATGCAATGCCAAGCTGCAGTTTCTAAAGCGAGCAAAATCCTCCCTTGTATTAAAAGAGGTATAGACTCCAGAGAGATATCATTTTACCCCTGTACAAATCATTAGTAAGACCTCATCTGGAATATGCAGTTCAATTTTGGGCACCAATTCACAAAAAGAACATTGGGGAACTGGAGAAAGTGCAGAGCAGGGCAACCAAACTGATAAGAGGCATGGAGGAGCTCAGCTATGAGGAAAGATTAGAGGAACTGAATTTATTCTCTCTTGAGAAGAGGAGATTAAGGGGGGATATGATCAACATGTATAAATACATCAGAGGTTCATATAGTGAACTCGGTGTAGAGTTATTCACCCTGAGGTCATCACAGAGGACAAGGGGGCACTCTTTACGTCTGGAGGAAAAGAAATGTAATCTCCAAACACGTAAAGGTTTCTTCACAGTGAGAGCTGTGAAAATGTGGAATAGACTCCCTCAAGAGTTGGTTCTGGCCAGCTCAGTGGATTGATTTAAAAAAGTCCTGGATACTTTCTTAGATACACAGAATATAACTGGATACTAACATTTATAGGTAAAGTTGATCCAGGGTATATATGATTGCCTCTTGGGGAATCAGGAAGGAATTTTTTACCCTGCACGAGCAAATTTGATCATGCTTTGCTGGGTTTTTTTTTGCCTTCCTCTGGATCAACTGTGGGTGTAGGATTATAACTTTTTTTCTTTTCTTTTTAATGGTTGAACTGAATAGACGTTTGTCTTTTTTCAGCCAGACTAACTATGTAACTTGTTAGACAAGATAAAATTGTGAGGAACATTTACACACTTTTGCCCCACAGAGTGTGTGTCTGAACAAGGATACTTATCTTGCCTCACAGCAGCTGGTCCTGTTAATGTGATGCAGCCTGGGGCAGACTGGGACACTGGGGCCCACTGTAGAAAATCAGGTATTGGGACCCACCTGGCCAACCCATCAAATTTTTCAACATAACCCAACCACAGTGTTCATCCAACAACATGGCATTCATTTGTAGTCAGTAGCTCTATGCTCCTTGTTACATTCTTTACAGGCTACCCTTACAGTGTTACTAAACCCAGGACCTTTCATTCACTATATCTGTTGTTCTTTCACAGTACACAGAACATGGAAATTCAAATACTGTATGTTAGTAAATATAAACTGCTAAATACCTTTTCTCATCAGCAGTTAGAGCAATCTTGTGACTTCTATCGGTGTCCAGCAGAGCACTAGTAAAAGCTTGTAGGAGGAGTTTTCTTTCTGTTCTAGGAGGATGCAGGACCCCTGACCCTCCTTCTGGACAGTGCCGATTGGCCCTGTGTTGATCACATGTACTCCCCCAAGAAAAAAAAAAAAACCTCTCTAGCAATACACACCAAACTGGGCATGTTCAGAGTGACTCTATATATATGTCTTATCAGGAGATAACAGGGGGACACTGGAAGAAGGGGAGGATCAGGGAAGTCAGGCTCAAACAGCATTTTTACATAATGGAGAGGATTAACCCCTTAGGTTCCACAGTGAGTATAACAAGCATGCCTTACTGCATATACAGACTGATTTTACTGTTATGGGTTTAGTAGCACTTTAATGCTTGTGTGGCTTAAAAAAGGCCTGTTTAGAAAACATCTAGTACAATTAAATGAAACCCAAATAAATTATCCAATTCCCACACAGTCCCAAGATAAAATGAAGGTTTAGTCAGTAAAATAGTTAGATGAGGCTTAGTTATTAACCTTCAAAAGACGATGGCGACTGCCACATGTATCTTCCTTGATGCCCAAATCCCACAAATCCCATTCCTAGCAGTGAGTGACCCCAAATTAAATTATTAATCCAACTCTTAGACTTTCCTGTGATATATTTATGTTTTAATCAGTAAATTAATTAGGCAAAGTGAGGCTTAGTTATTAACCCACAAGAGATGATAGTCATCGCAATTCCAAGTCCCATTACCAGAAGAGGGTGATCCCCAAATGTATGATCCAGTTCTTGCACAGAACTATGATATACAAAGTTTGTTAAGTTTTAGTTGTTACCAGGGGCGGACTGACAACTCATGGGGCCGCAGGCAATAGGGGATCAAGGGGACCCAGTGTCCTTGTCCAAACTCAAAAAAGCCTATGAAAAAGGTACCAGGGGCATCTCATGGGGCCTCCTACTGACTCCGGGCCCTCGGGCAGTGCCCAAGTTTCCAAATGGTCAGTCCGCCCCTGGTTGTTACATTAGTTTAGGAATTGTTCTTAACTCACAAAAGATGCTACTATGTGTCCCTTCCCGGATGCCCAGCCCATATAGCCAACCTGCCCGCTCAGCAGTGTGCTCTCCAGCAGCAGCCAGGATTTACCTGCATGGGAGGTTTTTATGCAGTTGGCAGCAGGTGTTCCTGGCAGGAGAAGGTGGTCTGATAGCTGAACGTAGGTACTCACAGCGTTACATTGCCAGTGCCTAGCAACATTCTGTAGGTGCAACTGAAAAGGAACAAAGCAAGTGCTTTGTAGTCAGACTAAACTTTATTTCAGGATATGTGATGACATGGAACATGCCATTACCTTCTGTTTTAAGAAGTCTCTACTCTCCTAATCATAAAACATTAAAAGGACATGTATTTTTGATATTTTATAATTAAGGAGGAGACTGTCTTAGCCGTGCCGTGTTCTAGGCCAGCAGAGCTACCAGGAATGGTATACAGCCACATGTATATCATGTTGCTGAGTGTTAAATGCATTCCAGTTTATATCAAAAGGCCTCTAGACCACTTTCCTGCCTACCAGTACAGGGTGACTGGGTCCTAATTATTATTGTCACTGGGTGGAATAGTGTAGTATGTGCTTAAAGTTCACCCAGCATATCACCATAGTGCTTGGAAATAATTGGGGCACTATCAAAGCAAAGTCAAAGAAGGAGACTCTGTAGAAAAGACCGAAAGCTATTCCAATGGTCCTTTATCTTTAAATGTTGAATGCATGACTTACTTTGGTGCTTTCTTTTAAGAGTTATGAAAATATATTTTTACATTGTACACTGCAAGTACATTGCATTTTTGAATATTGCTTTTCTGTGTAAATTGATTATGCAAAGGTCATGCTAAAAGATCAACCAAGGTTTGGTGGTATTTTTTACTTGTGTTTGAATCTTTTCTTCTAACGATATCTTGCAGTGCCTTTTGGATCCTGGTTTGATCACATCAAAGGTTGGATTCAGATGAAAGATAACAGTAACTTCTTTTTTATCACTTACGAAGATCTGAAAAGGGTAACTAAAATGAAGTGTTGTGTATATCCACCGTAATGTCCATTTCCTGTAAATACTAATATGTATAGAAAAGATGGCAGTGCTGTCAACTCAAAGCTTGAAGGTCATTTAAAAGATCTCATTGCAAAAAACAGTTGGGTTGGGCAATGAGTCTGTGGTGGTTTATGTAATAATTTATTCTAAATATGTAGGGCGGTGTCCTCTCCCTTAAACAAAATATCGCAGTGCCTCCAGCCGTTAAAATACGGCAAATATTTAATGAACCAATAATTTGGACACCTTAATAATTTGATCAGCACTTAATAATATACCTTGAATTCTTTTACCAGTTTGATTTCGTACCATATACACAAAAATTGCCTTTATATATACAATTTATATATATATTAATACAAATGCAAAATACTGGTGATGCATATATACTCGTACACACAATCAAAAATATAATATGTTAATTTCTATGTTATCAAACAATATGTGATTATCAATTTAAAGGAAATATAATTTTGAGGGATTAGTAGTAACCTTATAGTGCTTCAGATATTATTTCTCATTTTTCGTGGCCATAGAAAAATAAGAAAGTCTTTCTGATAAATTGCACCACAACAACACTACAAATTAGTTAATATGCAATATATAATCTAATACCAATTTTAAACAGTATAGTGATAATTATATATATGACCTTAATATATTCCTAACCACAAATACAATGTTATAAATCTTTAGAAAGTTTGAAATGTCAAAGAAAATTACAATATTTTAGCACAGTCTCACCACTCCCAAAATTCAACTGAGCATCAGCATCTCTGGTGGAACTCTCTTCCTTCAAAATGGCAGCTGGAAGTTCTCAGCAAAATGGCCGCAGGTAGCAAGTGAGGTATAGTGCAGTATAGTAGCAACAGGATAGATAAGAAATAGTTTAGAAGTTATAACAGTCTTAGAAGCTGTTGCAGAAGTTTTAGCAGATCTGAAAGTCTTGAAGATTTTTCAGAAGGCAAGTGAAGTTAAATGAAGTCCAGATCAAGTGAAGTTTAGTTAAGGTAAAGTTCAGTTAAGTGAAGTGTAGTCTTGAGTGTAGTGTTCTCTTTCCTGAGGTGTAGGGCATTTTTATACCATACAATCCTTTGTTTCAAGGGACCTCCCAACAGGCTTGTTGATTGGCCGGTTGAGAAGTGTGCGTACCTACAGATATTCCTCACCTGTCCACTGGGGACATCCGGTATCACAAATGAATTGGTGGTCTTAATGATGACTCATCCTTTGATAGAAACAAAATGTCTTTATGTATCAAATATATGTCCTATTCAAGTATAGTTGATTTCACTACTAGCTCTTGGATAAGGACCATAGAAAGATGTAAATACATTTGGTTTCTCATTTTCCTGATATTTAAACTGTATTGGAATAGCTGATTTCTTTTTAGAAATATAAAATTTACCCCAATTCACAAATCATCTTCTTCTTCATCACTTCAAACTTAGTTGAGTGGTATGCAATACCCAACTTTGTTGAATATATTTTGGTGTGTGGAAATATACCCTTTATAAGATTTCCATTGATATAAACCACATTTTTCTTTGTATCTGAAATGACCCAGGTTTCACCTTCTGCTGCATACACAGTTCAAGGCGATGTGACATAGGAAATTTCATCCATTGTTGGGTAATTAGGGTAAACAGACTGGACTGAAGTTAAACCTCAGTATTCAATAGCTATTGTGACATCTCAAGAAGATTTGTTTGGTAATCCACACTTCCCAAGGTTTTTGTGAGAGATAAGACAATGAGGATTTCAGTCTAACTGTCCCTTTGGCTCCAGGTGTATATGCTCACCTGCAAAAACTCAAATAGTGGTGTTTTCTCTTAAACAAGTCTCTTCCACTCATTGTGTGTGTGTGGTAACCTCTTGAAATATCCCTTGAAATTCACTCTAGAATGTTAACCCCTAACAGTCAGCTGGGATTCCCAAATTTGAGATAATATAACATTTTTAATAAACAGTCCCAAAAGTCATTACAAGCCAGAGATGGCCACTTTGGGCAGCTCAATATAAATCACAAAACAGAGTAGAAACGGAAAAAATGGCTTCTGTGAATTAGGGCTTGGGGAGGAATGAGAAAGCATAACCCGACAAGTTATGGTGAGATGGCCCCTACCTAGTATCCTAAAATGAGGAATAATCTCCATGTTTTTGTGATTTGAGATGGAATGAGAAAAGTAAATACATTCAACTATAAGAAGGCTGTGTGGTGCTTCACACTGGTTCAGTGATGTTTTTTCTTTGTTCCCTATAGGCCACTTTACCATAACCTGTTAGATTCTATATTTTCTCATCATTCTCTAAGCCGTATGCCACAAGAAGCCATTGTTTCCATGCACTGATGTTGGCTGAGAAGCTAGATGCAGTTAGGAAAAAAATACTCTATAATATTAACCTGCACAGTATCTGTATTATAAATCAGTGGTTCAGGTTATACAATTGGCCACAGGAATGATGGAAAGATTTTGCATGGCTCCACTCACTAGTCTGAAATGAGGAATAAACCCATTATTATTGGGATTTGTGATGGAATGAGACATGTTAATACCTTTTGTTCTAAAAATGCTCTGCTGTGCTTTCCAAGAAAAAATACATAAAGCCAAGGACATCCACTGAAAAAACACAGACACTAAGGGGTTTATTTAAGAAAGCTGTAAAGTACAAGATCAGGCTCACTTCTGCATAGAAACCAATCAGCTCCCAGGTTTTATTGCCAAAGCTCAATTGAACAAGCTGAGGTTAGAAACTCATTGGTTTCTATGCAGAAGTGAGCCTGATTTTGCACTCTCCAGCTTTAGTAAATAAACCCCCCAGATACCATATCATGGCTTTTTCTACCTCCGTACTATATAACAATTTATAATTGTAATATTTCAGGATCACAGAGGAGCTGTAAAGAAGATATGTACTTTCCTTGGGAATGAGTTAGAAGAACAAACCATTGACTTGGTGGTGGAGCAGTCCAGCTTCAATATGATGAAAAGCAACAACATGTCCAATAATAGCTTAGTTCCGGATTATATCATGGATCCAAAAAAACAACCATTTTATGAGGAAAGGTACTATTTTCTGTTTAATCTTCATTCTTTTAAAGATTTATTATGAAAGTTAAAAAACAAATTTTTTCTTGTGTGTGTCTTGTCATGTTGTCTTGGTAAAGCTATGTATTTCTGTAACTTCCATCTAGGCAGCTGCTTGTGGTGTTAGATGCGTGTAGTAGAGCAGTGTAAAGTTAGTGTGGTGATTTTTTTTTTTTTAGAACAGAAATAGGGTAGCAATCTGCAACTACACTTGTTAAAATACTTACAATATACATTGGTCACCTGTAGGGAATTTGTTTTTTAACTAAACTGGAAGTTACAACATGTCCTCCTCAACATTTAAGTCTTTGCATAATTTTACCATGCAGGAGCTTCAGGGGTTTGAGCACTTGGCTGGCTTGACCACCTCACATCAAGTACTCCATGTCAACTGTATTAAAACCTTTCAGACCCTGCAAGAAAAATTGTATTTGCCACAGCATTATTTCTTTCAGTACTTGCAGTTGAGACATACTAAGCAGTCCCAAATGTGCAGTATGCCTCTTTCCTATGCTCAATCCCCTATGACCCTATGATAGTACAGATGCTAATAGTAGAGGCCTCATTGCACAAATATATAATACCCTTCTCTTTTCAAGTCAGACCAACACTACATCAAATAGTGAAGCAAAATCTCAGGAAGATATCGGAACCCTCTCCTCCTCATCTCCAACTTATTCAGTTGATTATAGTGTCTACCATTGCCTGCATTTGATTAGGGATGCATTTTTTCCCCTGACAGTACTAGATGTGGCAGGGGCTGTGGGGACTGCCAGCCAGGTGATGTAAACATGCCCAATTTTTCACTTGATTAATGACATTTTTGAATTAACTTTGGCTGGATCAGCTTCACAAGCCTATTACTAGATTGCTCTTCATAACCCATACATTAATAGCTCAAAAATGGATAACTCCCATGCAGGGCAGCCATCAGGAATATTGGGGGCCCTTATACAGCTTTACGCCTGGGCATCCCCAATCCTGACCATCAACATTCCCCAGGGCCCGTCCTGCTGAAGAAAAGCACACTCACAACATAATGCTGCCACCATCATGTTTTCATGGTGGGGATGGTGTGTTCAGGGTGATGTGCAGTGTTAGTTTTTATGAACAATGAAAAAAAATGGTGTTGCGCTCCCTAAATGGTATCTAAATAAACTAAATACAGCGTATAAATATATACATTCATCCAATAATCTTATGCATATAGACATAAATAATAACGTGATACTTAGATCAATAAACATACGTGTGTAAACAAAAAACATCACATAAATTAAAATAAATAGTGTAGCACTAATAATACTAACAAATTATGTGTTAAAATGCACACAAACTCTATATACATCCCCTACATATATATATCCAAGATGATAAATCAATACATAAATAATAAAATAGTTGTGTCATATGTGAATTCCCGTCACGGGGAATATTTAGTGAAAAAAAAGTGACAAACACACTTCTATTTGCACATTCTGAAACAATATGTATACTGGTGCACAAAATTAGTGAACAAATAATCAATTCAAAAAGTCCAAAATGATATAATAGTAATACGATAATTTGTGATGATCCTCACACTTCACTCTTCATGCAAGAAATATAATGTGCCGTATACTAAGTGGTACACACGTGCCAATCCTTTACCAGCCAAAATACCCCCTCACCTCCTTCATTAGACCCCTGCTGAAGTCACGAGGTGGGCGTGGCGCAACGCTCGGTACGTGGGGAGGAGCTTCCGGTGACGTCATTTCCGGCGTGGGGGCCATATTGGATCACCCTGTTGAGTACAACCCATGCAGTACAACACCCATAGCATGTGGTAAAAAAGCTGGAAAACTCGTGGGCAAATGTGAGTTTAATACTTATTGTCGTTTTAAATTTGATGCAATAAAAACCGGTTGCACTATGGAGGGTCTCTGTTTGTGTCTTATCATGATCCTGTGAGGAGCTGGCTGTTAGTCTGTTGGAGGCTGGAGATGTGAGGGGAAAACCTGAGAGGGACCCATTCTGATAGGATCACTTGATCCTCAAAGCGTGTTGACCCTGTGGGGTCTAATGAAGGAGGTGAGGGGGTATTTTGGCTGGTAAAGGATTGGCACGTGTGTACCACGTATACGGCACATTATATATTCTTGCATGAAGAGTAAAGTGTGAGGATCATCACAAATTATCGTATTACTATTATTATATCATTTTGGACTTTTTGAATTGATTATTTGTTCACTAATTTTGTGCACCAGTATACATATTGTTTTTCACAATGTGCAAATAGGAGTGTGTTTGTCACTTTTTTCACTAAATAGTCCCCGTGAGGGAATTCACGTATGACACAACTATTTTATTATTTATGTATTGATTTATCACCTTGGATATATATATGTAGGGGATGTATATAGAGTTTGTGCATTTTAACACGTAATTTGTTAGTATTATTAGTGCTACACTATTTATTTTAATTGATCATTCACTTACTTGGGAATAAGTTTGGTGTCGCAGCTTTTGAAGGATAGGATTCCATTTAAGCGCAGGAGGTTGTTTTTGGAATTTTTTTAAAAAAAATCACATGATGACATAAATAAGTGAAAACTAAACATGCATCCCCCAAAAACGGGGAAAAAAAACGTAACTTCGGTCACGAGGGAAGTGATAGATGAATGGCATAAATTATGCCTCAATAGAAAGTGCCGTGTAAAAATAACTCAAAATAAATGTGAATGCACTAAAGTGATATGGTCAGGATTAGAGATGAGCGAATCGAACCAGGCGAACCGGAATTCGATACGAATTTCAGGAAAAATTCGATTCGCGGCGAATCCGAATATTTGCCTACTTCGGGAGTCTGGAAATCGGTTGCGCGAATCGGATTTTTCCGATCAGCCGGCAAAAGTGTCCCTGCAGAGAGCTCCGCTAATTCCAAGCCGGCAAAAAGTGTAAGTGCAGAGTTCCTCTATTCTGCAGATACACTTAGAGGAGCTCTGCAGATACACTTAGAGGAGCTCTGCAGATACACTTTTTGCCGGCTTGGAATTAATCTTATTTTCATCCTACTTCTTCTTCTTCATCTTCATACCTCATCCTCAGAAGAAGAAGAGGATGAGGATGAGGATGAAGAAGAAGAAGTAGGATGAAAATAAGAATAATTCCAAGCCGGCAAAAAGTGTATGTGCAGAGTTCCTCAGCTCTGCACATACACTTAGAGGAGCTCTGCAGATACACTTTTTGCCGGCTTGGAATTAATCTTATTTTCATCCTCTTCTTCTTCTTCTTCTTAAAAGTGTATGTGCAGAGTTCCTCTATTCTGCAGATACACTTAGAGGAGCTCTGCTGATACACTTAGAGGAGCTCTGCAGATACACTTTTTGCCGGCTTGGAATTAATCTTATTTTCATCCTACTTCTTCTTCTTCTTCTTCTTCTTCATCCTCATCCTCAGAAGAAGAAGAAGAAGAGGATGAGGATGAGGGATGAAGAAGAAGAAGAAGAAGTAGGATGAAAATAAGAATAATTCCAAGCCGGCAAAAAGTGTATCTGCAGAGCTCCTCTAAGTGTATCTGCAGAATGTCATTTAGAGGAAACACATAGATACAATGTTTCAACCGCTGTATGGAGTGAATGTCCCAGAACTGTCAGAAATAGACTATTTCTGACAGTTCTGGGACATTCCCTCCATACAGCGGTTGAAACATTGTATCTATTTGTTTCCAGAAAATGGATCCATTTGAATGGAAACAAATAGATACAATTCCAACCGCTGTATGGAATGACAGTTCTGGGACATTCCCTCCTCTACAGCATACACTTTTGAAACCGCTGTATGGAGTGAATGTCCCAGAACTGTCAGAAATAGACTATTTCTGACAGTTCTGGGACATTCCCTCCATACAGCGGTTGAAACCGCTGTATGGAGTGAATGTCCCAGAACTGTCAGAAATAGACTATTTCTGACAGTTCTGGGACATTCCCTCCATACAGCGGTTGAAACATTGTATCTATTTGTTTCCATAAATGGATCCATTTATGGAAAACAAATAGATACAATGTTTTCAACCGCTGTATGGAGGGAATGTCCCAGAACTGTCAGAAATAGACTATTTATGACAGTTCTGGGACATTCCCTCCATACAGCGGTTTTCTCTGAAGCCTAGGAAACCCTTTTTTGTATGTGCAGAGCTCCTCTAAGTGTATGTGCAGAGCTCCTCTAACTGTATGTGCAGAGCTCCTCTAAGTGTATCTGCAGAAAGAGGAACTCTGCACATACACTTTTTGCCGGCTTGGAATTATTCTTATTTTATCCTACTTCTTCTTCTTCTTCATCCTCATCCTCTTCTTCTTCTTCTGAGGATGAGGATGAAGAAGAAGAAGAAGAAGAAGAAGTAGGATGAAAATAAGAATAATTCCAAGCCGGCAAAAAGTGTATCTGCTGAATGTCCCAGAACTGTCAGAAATAGACTATTTATGACAGTTCTGGGACATTCCCTCCATACAGCGGTTGAAACCGCTGTATGGAGTGAATGTCCCAGAACTGTCAGAAATAGACTATTTCTGACAGTTCTGGGACATTCCCTCCATACAGCGGTTGAAACATTGTATCTATTTGTTTCCATAAATGGATCCATTTATGGAAACAAATAGATACAATGTTTCAACCGCTGTATGGAGGGAATGTCCCAGAACTGTCAGAAATAGACTATTTATGACAGTTCTGGGACATTCCCTCCATACAGCGGTTGAAAGGCTCTCTGAAGCCTAGAAACCCTTTTTATAAGTTAACTTCGTAGCGAATTAATTCGCATCGAATCGAATTTCTTCCTGGAATTCGCCGAATCAGCCGAATCGAATTTTTGAAAAATTCGCTCATCTCTAGTCAGGATAAAACCTGATAACAAAAAACTAATTAAAGCCACATGACCTCCTAACACATCAATGTGTTAAATTAACGTGATAAATGACAACCAATGTTGTCTAGCTGGTACAATACAGTCCCTAATTGAGATAAATAAGTGTGAACACAAACACATAA